GGATCCGAGACACGGGTTGATCAGACCCAGTCCCAAACCCTAGGGAATATCAAACAATTAAAGTATTTTAAAATGAACACAGATGACAAAAATAAACAATAAAGATAGAATAAAGCTGAAAGAAAAATTATTTATAAAACCCTCCATGTAACTGAAAATAAAACTCCAATCTTACAAAACTTCAAGGTTACAACTTGGGAATCCACTGATGGACCCCTAACCAACGGTTCAACTGAAACTAAAAACTGAAAATAGATAATGCTAGAAACATCGAGAGAAGTCCTACGTAATCAGATAAATGTGAGACTGTCTTCGACAAGCACGATCAAGCTCTAAGGCTGGAACTGTCCTGTACCTGAAAAGAATAATAAAGGAGTGGGTCAGATCCACGAGCAAGTTCTAATCTAACTGCAATCCATACAGTGACCCGATACGCAGATACACCGTAGACGCCTCACAATATCTATCTAGTCCATACATGTAAATATATCCACACTAAGGGACATTCACTGGTCTATAATAGGGATCTCAACCTGAATAGAAGGCAACATGCGAATACGCACCCAAAAGTGGGCATGAATACCTAGACCTAACTGGGTACACCTCAACCTATTATAACCAGCTACGCATCCTCCGCATATACGCACCCTAACCAACGAGTCTGAGACTCAAGCTCAACTCGTGGTACCATAACCATATATATAAAGTCCGTCCAAATCCAGGGTATGCAGTTCAACTATTTATTAAACTGACATACAATAAACAAACTAGTTAGTCACTCAACTTATTCTGTTGATATGACTTAACTACCATCCGTTAATCCAGGAAGTCATCCAACTTGGTTACAGCTGATCTGACTTAGTCACAATTAGGATTCGATATCTTTCAATCCATTCCATTAATCCATTAGGTTAGGTTTATGCGTTTTGAGCTAAACCGTCTCTAGCATGTCACCGTCCCATACCGATACATACAATTCTCCATATCCATGTAAATTACAACATATATAACAGTTCAATAATTTACAGACCAAAACCACCATCCAAATAATTGCAGAAAAATATTTAAAGTTTCAGCAGTTTAAATCCATGCATTTAACCATATAGTTGCAGAAGACAATTTAATAAATCAACAACTAACATCCAGAGCCCGCATAGACCAAATTTAATATGTCAAGGACTCTATCATGCATGTGAATAGGTTAAATAATCCTATTATTATCCAATAATTTGCTAAAATAATTTCGGAAGATTGTTTAATGTTTCGTCAATTTAAATTTAAGCATTAACCATATAGTTGCAGGAAACGATTTAATAATTCAGCAACTAGTCTCCTAAGTATGCATAGATCAAAATTAATAATTAAATGACCTTATCATGCATTTAAAAACAAGTTTTATAAACACATTACATTCCATCAAATTACTGAATTTTAATTCAACAATTAATTTATCTTCCATTTGTTAACAACATAGGAAGTGCCATAATTTTTACACTATTTGTCCCAACAATTTAGAATTAAACCTTAATCAATTTAAGGTCTTATTAACACCCAAATTCAGCCTTCTAATCTCTCTGTGGAACCCCAGAACCAACAGATTAAATCCCTTGCTCCAATAGTATTAAACAGTACGTAGAAAATTAAAAAAAAAAAAAAAAAACAAACAGAAAATAAAAATTGAAGATAGAGCCTGCTCCAAATTTTGGGAGTAGGCTCTTTCAACCTAGAGCCGGCTCTAGGAGTCCTTAGAGCCGGCTCTACTTGTTGTGGGAGCCGGCTCCCACATCCATGGAGTCGGCTCTCACCTCCTTTGAGAGCCTCTGTCCCCGTTGTTTCGTTTCAGTCTGTCTGCTTCCTCTCTGATCAATTTCTACCACTCTGTTAGTTTCTAAAACTAATCTTAGGAGTCTTAATTGAGTCTAGAAGCATCCCCAAGGTTGCTTACAATAAATTTGAAAATAATTACAGAGTTTAAACAAAGCCCTTTAAACTAGCATTGTTGAAGAACAACACTGAAACTAATTTGCAACATCAGTTCTATCCCAACCCCTCTGTTCTCCCTCTAATTTATATTTAAAGGTCTTAAATTACATCTAGTATCCATTCAGACCTTGGTTGATTTCAGTAAGATTCAAAATAAAAAATTAGAACAGTGGGACGTTATGCCAAAACAAAAAAAAAAATAGAACATATACATGACAGAATGGTTTTACAGATAATTTTCACCGTTAAAAGACCCTCAAGTAAACATATACAAATCATGCATGGTTCAATTAATGGCCAATTAATCCCCTAGAGGTTATCTAGGCGCACAGAACACAAGCCAGAGGGAAGAAGGAAGATAAGAACTTGCCTGTACCGTTTTATAACCAAAACCTTGTCGCCGTTATTCTAAGCTTTCCGACAACCACTGACTACCTTCTAGCCTCCTCTGGTTCTGATCTAATCCACCAAAATCCTCCCTTGGTCCTTTCTGCTCTTCTCCTTGACAAACCGTTACGATGCTCTGTTCTCTCAACTTCTCTCTTTACAGAACCAAGACTTGTTTTTTCTCCAAACCCTTAACCAACGAAATCACTATATTTATAGACGTACAACCCTAAACCCTAATCCTTGTTTAATTAGAGCCAAAGCCCTAACATAAACCTTAGTCGGCCCATATACAAAACCTACGTCTAAAGTGTCGGCATCATAAATGTACTTAAGTTAATAACCTAAAACTATCATTACAAAAAATAAAATAAAATAGTGAATGCACAAAAACATAATATCATTAACAATTCAACTCAAATACCATTTAATAAACCCAACCAATCAATTAATCAATTTAAACACACCAAATAAATAAACAAAGGCAAGAAATCAATTAAATAACCAGAATAACCAATTAAACAAATAATTAATAATTAAACAAATAAAAATCTAATAAAATAATAAACAAAACTACCGAGATTATCCTTTTAAAAATTAGGGGTATTACAACCACCGCCACCACTGCCTTCCATTGCCGCCGCCGCCTTCCACCACCACCACCATCGTCACCACCTTCCACCACCACCATCACTGCCTTCCACCACTACCATAGTCACACCATTATCTCCTTCCACCACACTACTACCACTGCCTTCCACCAACACCACTACCACCTTCCACCACCACTGTTGCCACCAATTTCCACCATTGCCACCACCGCCGCCTTCCAACACCACCACTTACACTATTACTGCTTTCCACCATCCGCCACCGCCACTGCCACTGCCACCATTTATTTTTTAAAAATTATTAGTGAATATCATTTTGTTAATTTAATTTAATTTATTTGTTACTAATATGGATATTTTGGAGAATTCAATTAGAAATTTATTCCATTCTAAATTTTAAATTGGTCCAACCAAACACTAGAATGGTTATTATCATTCCATTCCTACACATTTCATATTTACAACCAAAAAATAGAATAAGAATAACCATTCCATTCCATTCCCATTCTCATTCCATTCTCACTTGGACTTCATTTCATTCATGCACACCAAACGTAGCATTAATATACTTTATGAACATACTATTAACAATTATCTAAAATTTAAACAAAAAATTAATCCCTCCATTCCACAAAAAGTGTCCACCATTTCATTTTTGGATGTTGTAAAATTATTGCCTCAATTCAAACTCCAATGTACTATTTTTAATTTATCCACCTTGTCTTTAAGTTATAAAATTATAAAAGCAATTAAAGTCGTATGGACCCATTATAAAATGATATATTTAAAAATTCTTTCACAAAAAATAATTATAAAATAAAATAAAATATTTATACTCTTAAAAATTAGGTTCCCAAAAAAAAAAAAAAAAGCCACTTTTTGTGGGTGACTGAGCAGAGGGAATATAAATTTAGAAATTTTTAAACAATTGATAAATTCGCGTAACTGTTTCGCGTAACACCATATCATTCACGAGAATCTGTTTTGCCATGTGTCCTTATTTCAAATTTTCTAACAAATGGATAATGAAAACCAAATATTCTTTTCACATTTCATAAATTTTTCCTCGAACCAAACAGATACTTATTACAAAATTTAAGCATTTTTCTTTTAATTTAATTATATATATATATATTTTTTTTTTTTGAAAGACTAAGAGTGCACAAGGTTCAATTTGGTACGATTCCCAACAGATTGTATGAAACCAAAATTGGAACTATTTCGAACGGTTCCTAAAATTTAAAATAAGAATCAGAACGGTTAGAATATGAAATCGGAATCGAATTAAACTTCTACCATTCCAGTTACGATTTCAACATGCGTTATTACTTTGATTCTTTGAATTGAACTGCATTTAATATAAGAGCAAATTACAATGATCTTTCCTAAGATTTGGCCTAATTGCAAATAAACCTAAAATTTGACATTTTTTTTTGCCAAGACACCCCCTATTTTATTATGAATTTACTTATATACCCTCACTATTATATTATTAAAAAACTAAAGTATTTGCTTATATTAATTTACTAATTTACCCACTAAAAACATTTTTTTTCCCTTCCTCTCTCTTCCCCTCTGTACTCTCCACCAAATGTCTTGGTAGCGAAATGGATTTACCCGTTGGGCCGTTTGATTGATGTAGCTTACCGACTTGGGTCTTCCTATAGCACAGAACAGTTTAGCAACATCCCACTGACCTACAAAATTTTTGAAAGAGATGTGATCAATCGTGTTCCACCTTTAGCATTCTAAGTGCTGTTTAATAAGTCATAACAAGAATACTTTTGTTCCTAGACACAAAATTGTTGTACAGTGTTGTTGCACTCATATATGTTGAAGCTTTGTACAACTTGAAACTTACATAAAACACATCACTTATTTATAGACATTCTTTCTCCAGTAGAAAGATATAGTCTCCCCTAGAAATATATAGATATTTAGATATTCAAGAGATTTTTAGGCTATACCATACAACTCTAGATAACTTCTGTTCAATGAAAATTACTAGTTTGGTTGCAGAAGTATGGAAAAATTGATGTGATCGTGTCCAATGCTGCCGTCAGTGTGGCTGCTGCTAGCATTTTGGAAACTAAAGAATCTGTTCTTGACAAGCTGTGGGAAATAAATGTGAAAGCTTCTATACTTCTTCTAAAGGTAAAAGTCCCTTCGAAAATACACTACATTTTGAAAATTAGAGTGGTGTTGTGCCATTACAGGAGCTTTCTTTTTCCCTGAATATGTAGCTTGCTGTTGTGTTTCTCAGTTAGATGGTTATTCTTGCATGGGCTAGTTTCCCCATTTTTACCACTTCTGTGTACCACTAAGAAATTTCTTCTTTACAATTCGAAGTTCTTGAAGCCGTCTGTCTGAGGTTTGGCTCTTATATATACATATATAACAGGATGCAGCTCCTCACTTGCAGAAGGGTTCATCTGTTGTTTTCATTTCCTCTATTGCGGCATACCAACCACAGGTTCCCATTACTATGTATGGGGTGACCAAAACAGCCCTACTTGGGCTTACCAAGGTAAATTCCATGATTCTGGCATTCTTGTTGCACCAAAACGAATTGAGGTTTTATGCTTTTTTCTTTTCCGTGCTACCGTTTCAATCTTCTTTCAGGCCCTTGCAGCTGAGATGGCCCCAGATACGCGTGTGAACTGCGTTGCTCCTGGTGTTGTACCCACGCACTTTGCCAAATTCATAACAAAACATGATGCCGCTGTAAGTATATGTTAGTCTTAAAATTGCGTCTAGGCGGTCTAGCTACTCAATTTGAAAATTTTAGGGGCTGGACCTTGTCGCAGACTTAATGTGAGTCTTGATTTTTCTTCAGAGGAAAGCCATCGAGGGCAAGACATTACTTAACAGGCTCGGTACCACAGAAGACATGGCTGCTGTCACTGCATTTTTGGCTTCCGATGATGCTGCTTACATAACAGGAGAAATTCTGATTGTTGCTGGAGGAATCAATTCCAGACTTTAGCTTCCTTTTTCTTTGCTTTACAAATTTTCCACTACTCTTGCAATCTAAATATCATATTTCTCTTGAGTTGAACCATTCCATTATAGGGAGAAAATAAAAGGAGGTTCACTTTCAACCAGGTGTATTAAGAATCTTGAAATTACTTTTCTAATAAATTCGTCTCAAGGAGAGTTCGTGTGTCATATTCTCATTCAAATACAAATGCATACACAGATTGGGATCTTCACAAGCAATTCATAAAATCAGCTAAAAATGCATAAATACTCAAAAACACATATTGATATTCTAAACATTTGAGTCTATCTGAAGAAATCAAGCGCTGCCATGTGCATATATATACATATATATATATATATATGAAACCACTATGGCATCTCTGAACTTTATGTACATGAAATTAGCTAAAAATTAAAATATGCAACATCAGGACAATACAACATCTCCTAGCTGCTCCGAGAGGGGAAGCCTTTTTTCCCCTTCTTCTAGATCTCCATCTAAGCCACAAAGCATATAAACACACGACATTACTATCCTTACTGTGCAATCTTCAGTACTGCTCTGCATCTTTTAGGCCATTTTACATACGCTTAAAATCCTGCGAAAGGTATTGGACAGAGGCCGGGCAGTGCTTGATTTTCCCATCAGAGAGGGGAAGCTTTTTTCCCCTCGTTGCGAGTTGCAAGAGGAAGTGGAAAAGGAGGTAGAGAAGAAATGCAAACATACATATCTACACTGGAATCACATCCGCATTCTGGCTTTCATCACATGTCAAAACGAGCCCTTCAATATAGGTTGGAAGGAGGCATCGGGACCATTGACAGCCAGTTGAAACGGGCTCTGCTGAAGGAACAATCATGAGAACGTTATCGTGCCGTCGGACAACCCCCATGACACTCACCGTGCTCCCTTCTTTAATATACCTGCCATTCAAGGAGCATTCAACAGAAGTCAACTCAAGTCTCAGAATGGCTCAGAAAGAAGTGGGTGGAAAAATGTGAAGTCAATCTTTTCCCAAGGCCAACAAGAGCAAAACCAATAAATACATGAAATACAGACTCAAAGCAGAATAAGGCTTACCCTTCTTTGAGGCGCATCACACGGTCATCACTTGAGAGGCTGCGGTCAGCAAGCCAGCGTAGAAAGCCTGGAGATAACTCTCGATTTTCCTTCGTTATATCCACCACTGTCGTCGGTTTGACAAATGGAGCAACCTTAGCTCCGTAGCCTGCTTTTACTAGAGCTCTTAATCCAGATTGGAAGTCTGATATGTAAAAATCCGCCACATTTTTCTGTTAATAAGAGGCACAAGAAGAGAGAGACATAAGTCATAAGCACATATTTTTAATTAACAAGTGGTTGGAACTTGAATGAAGAAACAAACATAATTTCAAGGCACATTTGTAAGTGGCAAACACATATAATTATTTATTACCACAACTCTTTATCAAAACTATATGCCCTCTTGCTAAGAATGCTTGGGATTTAATTGAAGCTATCCTTGTGACAAGCCATCACATAATGGTACAAAATTAAAGTGCTCAAGCCTACTTCCAACTAAATCATCATTTACCATAGTTTAGGTCCTCAAACCATTACATTGATCAAATTCCACAGGTGGTTCAATAAACTAACCTCAGTGTGTCTACAACCCCATGAGAAGAAACGGTGTTTAGGAGTTGCAGATTTTCCACCCCACCCTCTATACTCGTATAATTCTGTAGAAACATACACACATCTTGGTACCCTCTGGAAAGATGACTCAAGAGGAATACTGCCACAAGTGACAACCTACATAAAAAGATATAATATCTGTTACAATTGTTAAGACAGTTACAAGAAGAATAAAGGGATAAAAGAATGAAAGACATACAAGAAAACTCAAGCTACCACCACTCCAAAAAATTTCCTTTTTTATATATCAAAATTTTCATTTTTTTTCCAAGAAAAAACTGATCTACCATCATGCCCATGCGTTTGTCTCTTATTTCTCTTTCTCCTCATATTTTTTTAAAACAGACATGGTGGATGTTCAGGTTATTCCAATCACATCAAGTAAAATCCATAAATATAACTACTAAGATAACTTCGTCATTAACAAAATTGTATAACCACTAGTAACCAGTTAAAAGAAAGTTAACTCTCTCTCTCTCTCTCATCTGAATAAAAAATTAACAAAATAATAATAATTATCAAAACGCCAGTTGCAGAGTTTTTAACAATCGACTCTAGCCAACGTACCAAGATCTCAAGTAAAATTTTACTATTACCATAATGCCTTTGAAAAGTGATCTAGTACCAGCTCAAATTGGCTAATTTTCCATAAGGAACTAGTCGGGTATGAGTTTTTGCTACCACAGGAACAGCAAAAGACTATTCTAAACACAGCTGAATGACTTGTCAGACTGTTGGGAAAATAAGAAAAGCACTTGTATCATAAATAAATCTTGAGCCTTGATGGCTTAAACATCTGGTAACAGAAACATCTTTTGCTCCATTTCTCAATATCACAAGACATATCTTCTGATTCGTTTCTTACAGCCAATGGCAACTACCAGCTATATATGATCTTACACAGGATGGAATAACATAAATAGCTACTTTCAGATCCTGGCACATAAACGGAGAATAATCCACGTTCAAAATTAATCAGGGCCACAAAAGCTGCATGATGCCACCAGATTACACACTGAACCACCTCATCCGGTGTGCATTCTATAACTCTGGAAAGCGGCTTAATAAATAAGCTTATGGTCCAACTCAGCAATGAGCCTTGAGAGATTATATCAGACTTATAGCTGGTGCAAGAGCCTCTCAGACAAGCAACAATTCTTGGGTTCGTTGCTGGACTCTTACACAATTATATTCTAGAAAACTGACAAAAGCCACACAATTGGACCAAATGCTGTCAATAGCAATATAATTACTCATCCAATGGATATAGAAACATTAGGCAAAACTACTAATAATTTCCTTTCCAACAAGGCTTTCTGTTTTTCATCAATTTGTTTCTTAGGAGGTAAAAGACACGACACCAACAAACTTTACCAGATGAGCCTAGGTACAACATTTACCGTCCCCAAGTAAGACTAAACCCGGAAAGACTTCCATCTTTTCTTAACCTATTGGGTTCTATTTTTTTTTTCCCCCCAATTAGTATGCTATTCTACAGTACACCAGGCCAATTTTAGAGTTAATAGCATCCGAGATCAATAATCTTGACCCAAAAAGTAGGCAATTACCCAGTACTAGTCTGACAAGGGCACAGTGCTAGAAGGGGTGGACAATGTACAAATCCAAAATTTGGCATTTTTTACACTAAGTGGCTATCCTCATACTTGTACCCACTTTCTCACATTATATACCCTCCTTTTGAATTTATTTTAGTAATTAGTATCCATCCGAGTATCCAATTGTAACTTGTAAGATATCAACCTCACTGAAAAAAGAACCACTTCATTTTCCAGAGGCCTTCTTATTGCAATATGCAGCTTCTCCATAACAATGTATATTGAAAATCCGCTCCACATTTGAGCAGAAAGGTGATTCACTGTCTAACATCAGATAAAACCAAGCCATCCTTTGCTATTTGAAAATGCCATTAACTAGTACCGACCCTACCTATGTGGGGTACTAACAAGGAAATATTGGAGATATTTTGCACAAAACGGCTACTCTCATAATCAAACCCACGTCATCAGTCATGTTTGCCCAAGCTTTTGTCATTGCACCAAATAATGGCCCCTTCTAACTAGTACAACTGTACAATGTATATATAAAATATAAATTAAGCAATATAAACCTGATATGAAGCTCACAATCATTGGATGATAGCCAGAGAACCCACTTCCCCAAGTGCATTCAGTGTCAGCATTTTACTAGTAAATGGAAAGGAAATAGAATCTACTTTTAAAGGTATACGACTAACACAATTTTTCGGTAAGATTTACTCCATAAATCAAATCCATCAGTAAATGAAATTATCTAGAAGAATTCAAGGGCAGCAGCTAGTTCATGCACGTTGAGGTAAAGATATCAAAAAGAAAACAGTGAAGGTGATATGGTTCCGAAGGACAAACTGGATATGGACAGTTCCAATAAGATTTCATTCTTGAACAAAACTTCATAATTTTTGCTTTATTTCATCTATTCCATGACTGGAACAGGGATGATACACGTTACACCACGATTTTGAATCAGAAGAGAGATTATAGTGAAGTTAAAAGACTAGCTCTCACTCTCGTCACTCTACAATCATCAACCATTAATCTTCCACTTGCTACTAAATTTAACTTGTAGGTGGCACAAAATGCCGACCTCAGTTTGCCTTGTTCTAGGAAGCAATCGTGTGGTTTATTCTCATTCAAAGGTTGAAACATTAAATTAACTTTTTTCCCTCTTTTCCCTTATTGTAGAATTAAGGTTTGTGCATGTTCTGATGGAAAATTCTATCCTTTAACCCCAACAGAAGCAATTTGGGTACATTTTATAATCTATCTGTCAAACGCAATGCAGAAGTTATCCTTAATATCTTTGCTTTGCCGAATTACATCAATCATCATACAGATCAAAACCCATGATAACTAAACTTACTATCAGAATCACTACACACACATTATCATATAATAGTAACTATAATAATTTGCTCAATATCAGGGTCAAAACGGGCAAAAAAATATAAAGTCACAAATGACCATTAATTGTAGTATCTAACCACCAAAAATAACTAACAGATAACTAATTGACCTCCCTAATAATAAAAGCACAATGCACTTAAGCAACATAAAATACAAATGGTACGTATTATTGAATTAACATCATCAAGTCACATTTAGTTATAATAATAACTCATATGTATTCATATGTCGGTGTATATATGTATATGTATATAGAGATAGGCAATTACCCCAGTAACCTTGACAAACTGTCCGTCGATAGCGCCTCTAAGCTCAGCGTCAGGGTACCTCCGTAAGAACCCTAGCAACCCTCTTTTTTTCCAAGCACAATTCCACAGAACCACCACCACCACCGGCGCCAAAACCGCCACCACCGCCACCAAAATCACGGCCTTCTTCACTGCCACCATCAGAAACGCCCCCACCACTAACCCCATCACCACCACCACCAACACCACCCACATTACCGCTTTCGACAGCCTAAACCCTGACCTCACCTCCTCGGTCAAGCTCGTCACCGCCGTGCCGTACACCGCCTTGGTCATCGAAGCAGAAGGCTCCAGCTGACCGGACCTCCGACCCACCGACGAGCCCAATGGCCCGGACGTGATGAGACCCGTGGGTTGAAGGGGCACCATCGGGCCGGACGATTTCCTTGAGATCGGGCCGGAATTGGAGGTTTTGGTCGCAATTGGGCCGGATCTGACGGATCCGCTGCTGTGCTGTGAAGACGACGACGTCCGTGACGGCTTCAATGGGGGCGGACCGCCGCTCGCCGGGTTCTGATCAACGGCGATGTCGAACATTTTACCGAGCTCGCCGGACCTCTTGACGTCGCCGCCGGTGTAAGGTACAGCCCGCGACGCGATTGTGGGTTGTCGTTCCTTGAACTGTTCGGGTCGACCCGACACGTAGAGGCCATTGCTGAGCTGGTGCGATGGGATTCGAGTCCCCATAGAAAGAGAGAGTTGAAATCCACAGAGTGAGAGAGAAGAATATTAGTTTTAGAGAGAGAATATTAGTTGCATAGAGAGAGAGAGTGCGTGCTGTGTGAGTGTGTAGTGAGTGATGAATGGCGTTGATGAATGTGGGGGAGGATGAGATGTGAAATGATGAAAAAGGGTCTGGTTTTGGTGATAATGACGTGGGTATCCTTGTCTTGATATGGGACTACACTGTTTGCTGTTGGAGATTTACACTCTGGCAACAAATTTTTAGTTTTAGGAGGTTGACATTAGTGTTGAGTTTTAAGGAGGGTTTGAAATGACATTTTTAACCTTAGGTTCAAAATATTGGACTTTTTGCTTTTTCACTATATATGTTGCTCCACACACACAACACAAAATTTGAAAAAATAGAGCTCCTTGCCTTTGTTGTCAATCACAATCAAATTCCTTTGTTTGACACAATTTGGGTCCCACTCTTACGAAGAAAGGATGGAATTAGTAGTATCCATTTCAACTGTTATATGCATGTATTACTTTAACATCGAAGAATCTATTACTTTGATTTTTATGTTAGTTTTAGGTAATTTAAGTTTCAAATATAAGAATTCCAAGTTAGTAAAAGTTAGAATTATTCTATCCCAATCGGAGTGACAGAAAAGTCACTCACATTGTTTAAGAATTAAAGATAATCTTAATTTTTATTTCACTTAAAACTTTACGACTTTGAACTTCAACGCTTAAAATATGATGGTAGTGTAGGACTACTTAAAGTTCATCATAATCCATCACAAATATATACAATCTACAATATCACACTTACTATGGTTCACAGTTGCGGTATCGGTCATAGTATAACGGATTCGAAAAAATGTCCGTGTAAATCAATCGACCCAGCCGGTTTATGTAGGCGTGTAACGGTATCGGATCATTAAAAAATGATTACAAACCCAGCTATACATGTATTAGCCGAAAACCATATGTATATTAAGTTATTATTAAAAAAATTAATAATAAAAAAAATGTCTAAAAACAAATACAAGAAAATTTAAAATTTGACCTACAAAATATAAAATGAGAGTATTTGTGGTTATACTACCCTATTATAATCGAATTACATGCTATATTAAACCTTTCATCATTTTCCTCTCCCTTTCCACTATTTTTTTATCCTTTCCCTTTCTACTTATTGATAGAGGGAATCCAATTCCTTTCCTTTTCTACCACAGTGCAAATTTGGGTTCCAATGTGTGAAGTGAGACTCACGTGTCACCATCATTTTGCTACCCATATGATAGGTCCCTCTATTTCTATCAAATCAGGAGGAGATGGATTACCATATGGTGGTGGTCACTTCCGTACTAGAAATTGATGATAAGGTAAATGAATCCAAAACGCCCATTGTTTGTTTGGGCCCTCCCTCGCTCACACTCAATCCCAACTCTATGCGTAGTGTATAAGTAGTTTACAAAGGGTAACATAGGAAAATTAATCATCTAAGTAGGTCGGTCATGAAAAAGAACGAACCACTAGGCGGGCGCCCACAAACACAAAGTCCAAATATATTAAATATTTTGTTTTAAGATAAATATTTTAATTTATTTCCTCGAAGATAATTTCTTGTCATCACTCTTCTATTCTCATAGAACAAAAAGTAAATATATAACAATTAATTTTTATTTTGTTGACAGATTTTAAAAATTACTAAGTTTTATTTTTCTTTTCTTCTTTTTCTACCAGTCTTTTGATATTGAGTTTGAGAGTTAAGAATCATTTTTTTTTTTTTTAGTTTATTCTTTTTCTACCAGTTTTTTGACCTAAAGTTTAAAAGTTACGAAATAAAATTACTGGACAAGGATAGACCAGTAAAAATAAAAATAAAAAACTTAATTTTATATCACCTTTTTATTAAAAACAGAGAACGAACAAAATAGTGTCAATACTTTTCAATCAGTGTCTATTTTCTAGTCCTGTGTAAATAAAGGTACCTTATTTTAATTTTGAGTAATTTTCTCATAACTACTCAAATGCAGTACAGAAAAATTAAGTTTGCCCCATATGATGGGTGTGATAGTAATTTGAGTGGGCTTTTGATTTAAATTTTCATAAATGACATTGAAAACATATATATTTTTTGGTTTGGATGTGACATGTGCAAAGATTGATGATGAGGGAAGAGTTGAAGATGACTGAGTAATAAAGTTATGAAAATGTGGTGTTTGAAGGTGATTGTGAGGGAAGAGTTGAAGATGACTGAGTAATAAAGTTATGAAAATGTAGTGTTTGAAGGTGACTCAACTTCGATAATGAAGAACATTCACTTCATTTTGGCATGTAAGAGAGACTTTTCAATGAGTTGGTGCCTCGCCTAGATAACAAATTTGTTAAATTTTATCATCAACATAAATTGCTAGGATACCGACTCTAATAATAATATTATCATGAAAATCATCAACAAAGTTAATTAAATTTGTTAAATGTAATAGCGGAGTCAGGAATTTAGTTGACAGGACAGTTGTTATAATAATATGATATTAATAAATAAAAATCAACTAAAATAATAAAAGTGGGACCTTTTTGAATTTGATTAATAAAAACAGAAGAGAAGTGACCTTTTTTTTTTTTTTTTTAAATTTTGAAATTTTTGTTGGCAAATCAGTTAGAATATTAAAGGTCTTTGAAATTTAGAAGTTTTTCTTAAGGTCTTTTTTGAATTTTTTTAAAGTTAAATGGAGGCATGTTCATATAGATATATATATATATAATAGGACAATACTATTTAAACTGAGAGTTTCAGTCGAAGTTTTGGACTGAAATAATTACATTTTGGATTCCATTAGATGCATCTGACAAACGCAGTTGTTTCAGCCAAAGAATGCGGTTGAAATTTTCACTAAGGCAGTTTGGATCCCCTTGTATGCATATAACAAGTGATGGAGCCGCCACTAAAATTTTATCTTATTTGTATTTTTTTATACTCAAATTTTGATATATATATGGGGATCCAAACTACCTTAGTGAAAATTTCAACCGAATTCTTTGGCCGAAACAACTGCGTTTGTCAGATGCATCTAATGGAATCCAAAATGTAATTATTTCAGTCCAAAACTTCGATTGAAACTTTCAGTTTAAATAGTATTGTCCGATTATCATTGCATAATTTGCATGCCTACATTCTATATAATAAAAACTTAAACGTGATGGTTCTTGTAAAGGTAAATGGGCACATGAATTTTTTGTCAATAAATATATGTATATATAAATATATACAAAATAGTAATAATAATAGTTAACCAAAAGAAAAATGAATTAGAAAAAGGAGCTAGTGATTGGACCACGTGTCCAAGTTCAATATTCTTAGACTACTTAGGTTGTTATTTTCGTACTTACTTTTGTGAAAGGAGGACGACATAAGGTGATGATATTTTTTAGGGCCCAAGTGCCCTCAATCTCCAAGATGCCCCAAAAAGATCTCAAAATCTTGTGAAGTTGAATCAGGGCACTCTGGTTGTCTTGCTTTCGCGGGGCATACCTCTCCTCTCCAATTGATTGTCTGTTGTGCCCTCCAAACCTTTTTCCTTTCACCAGAATTTGGTTGCTTGTGTCCTATGTTTCTCTCGTTTTGAAATAATACGTTTCCTTGCTAGCTTTGGTACCTATCTTTGTATGTTGTTTTTTTTTTTCGGAAGTTACCTATATTTGTGCTTTATTAACCATTGAAAGCTTATGTTTTACACTCTCACTCTCTCTCCAAAAGTTAGATATCAACTGTCTATATTGTGTCAGTTGTCTTCAATTAATCAAAACCTTTTATTATATAGTTATTAATTCACCTCTAATTTAGGAGGTTCATTTGATTCAGGTTTGCAAAGTGCAGTTCTTGTTTTTGCTTTTTATAACTTACAAGGTAAGAAATCACTTTTATAATGCTAAGCAAATGTTAATTTGCAACATTCACCAAATATACTAATGTCAAGTTTGGCAGGTATGGAATTGCAATTCAAAGTTTATAGTTTATATTCTGTCTTTTTCAATTCAAGGTTCTTCTTGGTTTATGGTATCAGAGCCAGTTTCTTAGGTGAGTGAGCAAGTTTAGGTTTTCTATTTTTCTCTTTCCAGACCTGGATCCCGTTTAGGCTAGGTGTGCCGCTTTGGGTTGGTCAGACGGACGGACACTTAGATTCTTTAAATGAGTTTATTCAACAAAAACATGTCTTCGCGATCATCTGCTCCTCTAGGAGGCAGAATAATAGTAAACCAAGAAGAACGGTATATTGATAGTGGTCAAAGTGATCAATGGGATACTTGGAATATAACCAAGGTTCCCATTAGGGATATTTAAAAATCCTCTACCTTTAAATTCCAAATAGGATACTTCATCAAAACTGTTGAACAAACCATTTCTCTCAAAAATCCTTTTAAAGTCATCCAATTATTACAAAAAAGTGCAATAGTCGAACACCAAAAGAAGTATAAATTCTTACACATAGGACTTGTCCAAATCGAGTCAAACCTCTCACATCCAGAGGACTCAACACTGTTATTATGCTTAGTCTTCGAGACTGTAGGCATAATAATTTTGAAACTTCCCTATTGGGAGTTTGTCAAACTAGTCTTTTTGATGGTCCCCAGTACTTCAATTGTTTTCCAAACTACTCAGTTGTTCTTGATAATCCAACAATCCTTCATACTCTAACCCTGAATGTTTCAAGCAGTGGTTATGATATGATGGAAGGAGCCATACCTTTCAATGTTGTTTATAGAGTTCATTACAAAGTCATGACTACTCAGGTTACACCCCAAGCTCTTCGTGAGTCTCCCAAAGGAGAAACCCTCCTACTCCATGCCAGTGATGAAAATTCTCAGACTTACGTCCCAAAAACCATAACATGGAGTGAAGTCACCTTCCCCGAAGAATGGACTCTAGAGCATGTAGTTCCTCCCTCAAAGATTGAAAATAAGAGGTTAGAACACATCTCTTAATTTTCTGATGGAACTGTAAAAGTTAGATTTAATTGTAACAGGCTTAATAGGCTTTCTATCAAAGATCTAGAGCCACCTAGATTATCTTGTTCTTAAGCCTCTTTCTCTCAAACAAATTTTTCAAAAGTCCCTTCCAGGAAATCATTTTCCGGACTAG